GTGGCTGGGCTGTGACGGTGCGGTGGCGGTGGCGGTGCGGGGACAGTGCGGTGACTGCCAGTGGCTGTGGGTGACTGTGCGGTGGCGGTGCAGGGACTGTCTGTGACAGTGTCCTGTCAGTGCGGTGACTGTGCGGGGACAGAGGGGACAGCAGTGGCAGTACAGCACTGGGGACAGCAGGGAGTGAGGGGACAGCAGTGGCAGTACAGCACTGGGGACAGCAGGGAGTGAGGGGACAGCAGTGGGGACAGCCGGGGACAGCAGGGAGTGAGGGGACAGCAGTGGCAGTACAGCACTGGGGACAGCAGGGAGTGAGGGGACAGCAAGGAGGGGACAGCACTAAACGGCAATGCCGGCCGGGTGACACCGGAGCAGCATCACGATCTTTAACTCATTGGCCACAGGAGCCTGCAGTGCAAACCTGTAAAGAGGCAGCTGCGTTATCTGAGAAAGAATTTCCTCGGTGGAACGTGTTGAAAAAGGCAGTTCAGGACAAAATGATCTGTTACCCTTTTGCCCATTAAGGAAATATATTGGAGTTTATTTTGTGAGTCACATATCATTTTAGGGAGCTAATCATCTCCTAAGGACAAATAGCTCAGTTCCAAAAATCCCTGGTTTATTTGTACTATTCATCATTCAGTATTGTATTCAATATTCAATGACGGCATAACGTTTGTTTCTAATTAAGAATCTGATAATGAAATAAAATTGTAGCAGATCAGTAAAATCTTGATGCTGTTCTGTACTCCTGTACAGGGCACCTCTGTGGCTGCATCTCCTCTTTTGCACCTCTGTAACTTTTCCAGGCAGAGTTTATTGTGAACCCCAGCCCTGAGCAGAGCTGAGCACCTCACCCACAGCCCAGGGGAAGGCAGAGACAAGGATTTACTTTAGGAAATACTTTACCTTTAGTCCTCTGATGCTGAAGTATCTCTCTGAGTCTTTGCTCAGGGCTCTGAGGTCACTGATGTTGTTAACTCATCGTAGCTCTGGGAAGAGTCATCCTCTTACAGTAGCCTATAAAGCAAAATATAAGTAATGATTTATTCTGTAGATAATAGCCTTTAAAGTCAAAAGTGGTTTCTTGGTTTCTTCATCTTGTGAAGCTTCGGGGAGAAATCTCAGATCTTTAGAACTCAGTGCCATGAAAAACAACAAGTGAGAGATTTGCTGAACATAAAACTGCCAAAATCCTGTTCTCAACTTCTGCCATCAGATTACGTCCCCCAGCTGTTGTCTGCTGTACTCTGGGTTACTCTATATTGATTTTCCTGTTACAAAGTGTACTGTGTTTAAAATAAAAACTTCATATTCAATAAGGCAGCTATGGCTGAGAGTTGCAGCTGACTGCTGGTTTTGAGGACAAACCTTGTAAACAGAAGTTGAATTTTGGTCAGGGAGTGCATGGCAGATGCTGGTGTGGCCCTTCCCAGCAGCAGGGCTTTGTTGTTCAGAAACTTCCCTTTGAAACGCTCCCAAGAATCTCAGGGTAATGCCATGGAGTGACTGGAGGGGAGAGGAGCAAACTCTGGATTTATGAGCTTCACCTCAGCTTTTCCGCCCTGCCCTGTCCAAGCAGAGCTCTCAGTGCTGAAGAGGCAGGCAGCAGCTGGACTTGGGGCATCCATCCTTCACACTTCCAGCTCCTCTGGCTCCACTCTCAGCTCTGTCTGGGATTTCTGACCGTGATTCTGTGCTTGTCTGTGAATTCCTCAGGCTGGGGCTCTGTTCTGGGGCCACAGCTCTGCCCTGGTGCCACCCTGTGCAGTCCTGCTGGCCCAGAGGGCACGGAGCCACTGCAGCCTCCCTCTGCTGGGGCTGAGCTGCACCCATGTCAAATGGTTTGATTAAATCATTGGGTCAGACATAACCCTGTTACAGCCTCTGGCATGTCAGAAAATGTGATCAGAATGTGAGAGGCTGCATAAGGAAAGCTCTGTGAGGATGTGAACTGTCAGCTGGCATCGTGTGGCACATGCCCAGCCTGCCAAGGGGGACAGAGTGCCCTGACACTGCTGCCTGGCCTTGGGCACACTCCAAGCAGGCTTTGTAGTCCCAAGGAAGCAGATCTTCCAGCAGCCTTTCAGCAGCCATTCCAGGACCAGCTGCTTCCAGGACATGGTGCCCACAGCAGAGAGAGGGCAGAGGGAAGGGAACAGTCCTGGCTGCTCATGGCTGGGCTAAAACATTTGCATTTCCCTTCCTGGTGCTGCTTCCTGGGCCCTCTGGAGGAAAGAACAGATGGAAAAATCCCATTCCAGGGGCAGAGGAGGACAAAGCTGTGGCTCATCTCCCACAGCCCCCCGAGGAGCCAGGTGTGTTCTCACAGCTCTGCTCACCAGGCGTGCAGAAACAAACCCTGGGTGATGATGAGCCTGAGCTGCTGAATGCTCACAAATTGCTCTGAGATCTTCAGCAGCAGGTGCTGCCAGAAAATCAAATGTATTGACACTCAGACACCAGCATTAACTCTTCACCTGCCTGAGGGTGAGGGATGGAACAGGCACTGTGAGAAAAGGGGAATTTTCCTGCCACAGGTGTGAGGTGGCACTTGTCAAAGACACCTGCTCAGAGAAGTGCAGAAGGATCCATGCCAGAGTTCCTTTCATCCAGATGAATCACAGTGTTCAATGAAAAAGTGAATTGAATAACCCAAAGATCCTAGTCAATTATACTTCAATAAAGCTCCCAGAGTCGTTTTTGAATGACTCCTCCATTGAAAGAAGCCCTTTATTGTGGATCAGCTTTGTAAGGGCTGTGCTCCTTTCCCTCATCTGCAAGTGTTAAAACATGAGCTGGCATTTGGGTCTGATCTGAGGCACAGCAGAGACACTCCCAGAGCCCTTTGGCAGCACAGCTCCCAACTGGGCATGGGGATGAGCTGACCCAGGAGCTAAATGGGAATATCTGTTATCAATCCATACATTGCATCCATATACTGCATTGAGCTTCTCCATTCCTCTGCTCGGCTCCTTTCTCTGATATCAGAGCACTGCCAGGAGTGCAGTGAGGAGCTGGGCCTGGGGAAGGGTTTTGGAGGTTTTTGGTGTGATTGTGGGTGGGTGTTTGGATTCCTGTGATGAGGAAGTGCATCTGCAGCTCTGAGAACGTTTGTGTGGATGCCTGGCTCCAGACTGTGTTCAAACCAGAGCTTCTCTGTACAGAGGTCCTTAAATCTATATCGAGAAAAAGATGAAATTTGTCTGCTTTTGATACCAACAGTGTTAGCTACAGATCTGTACTTAATTATTGCCTGTTTTATTAATTGCAGTGGATAAGGTTGGTACCGTGCCTTTGCAGAGTTGGTACAAGGCTCCTTCCTCAAGTCTTTCTTCTGAAAATCACAAAAAAAATCACACAGTGTCATCCACAAAATGTATTTCCTTCATCTCCATGCTTTCTGAGAGGCAGAACTTTGTCCTTCGTGGAAAACCTCTTTGTCTCAGCCAGAAGTATAAAAACTTCCCCCAGACATTGGAAATACACTGGATCATGGTTTCCTCGCCTTTGGTGATTGACAAGGAACACATTTCCTTGGCACACACAAACCCTGAAACCCAGGAAAGGGAATTTCCATGATGAGAAGAGAAAAAATGCATTTAAAATGCTAATTTGCAGTTGTCCAATGGTGATACTTAGAGCCTTGTGGGTTTATTTTCAGACTAAGGGAAATATCTCTGAGGTTTGTATTAACAGCCAAGGTTATTAGCTGGAACTTGCCAAAACAGAATTGCACACACTTGCAATTTGGAATAATCTTTTTTTCTGTAGTTACTCAGTGCTTGTCATTTTAATGTAAATAGCATTTTGAGAGCATTTTTTGGGTAGAATTAGCTAAAATACAATTATTTTCACGCTGTCGCTGGCTCTTAAATCCCCTCCAGGCTTAGGTTTTGCAGGCCCATTGCCCACACTGAACCATGCTTTTTTTCTCACTGTGCATTTCTGTCAGAACTGTGCTGGAGACTCTCAACATTTATCAGCAATTCCCCAGTTATGGATGGAGGCCTTATCTCAGAGGCTTTGTGAGGGTGGTGCCAGCAAGGGACTGTGCATTTGGGTGGGTGGGAAAATCAGTTTGGGAAAAGTGATCCCTGCCTGGGCTGTGCTGTCCTGGCTGTGCCAGGGGCCAAAGGAAGTGCAAATCCCTCCCAAAGCTCTGCCCAGCTGTCTGAGGAAAGAGGATTCCTGCCTGATCCCACCTGGAGAGGATCCCAACCAGGGAACTCTCTGACTCTGCATCTGTCAGAGCTTTAATCCAAATTTCAGGGAATTTAAGGGAACCAGGAGAGGGGAAGCAGTTGAGTTCTGGTGGAGAGGCTGGAGGGGTCTCCTGGAAGGATCCTTTCCTTTGCTCCACATTTCAGCTGTTTCAGAACTTGCCTCTTTTGGGATAGAATTTTAATGGAATAAACCTAAGGTTTCTAGATATGAGAAATTC